TCCCTCTCTCATGGAGTTCATACTCTAGAAATTACACGAGTAAGGGAGGTGAGAGAGCATATCTTTGTCATTTGAATCTCCATTTTTTCCCCAATGTTTCACATATACTAATGTTTCATAATGCTTGCTGAATGAGGGAATAATCCACTTCCTTTCTACATCAGAAACCATTTTCTTTTTTATTATTGAATAGTTGTTTATAGTTAAGAGACTTTCAATGTGCTTATCTCACTTAAGTAGAGCACTATTGAATGATAAAGTAATTCAAGCATTTATATTTTACAAAATGAAGAGCCTTGTCACCACTATTTGCTTGGGCAGAAATCATCTAACAATTGGCAAACCAATCATAAAAGACAGAAACAAGAGTACCAGGAGGGAGATAAAAATTGTATTTTCCTACTTTGGATTCAATTCAATAATTTATGAGACAAGGATTTTTCATATTAAAGTAGGCCCCCATACCTGTGCAAGATGAAGGAGAATGGTTAAGAATGATCTTTGAGAGCTGAGAGAGTGGCCCAAGTGGTAGAGTGCCTGCATAGCGAGTGTAAGGCCCTGAGTTCAATCCCTAGTACTGCCCCAATAAAGTGATCTTTGAGAGCACTGACATAATTGAGACTATTGCAAGCTAAATAAGCCATGGAAGTGGAAATTGTTGGCTATGGCTCTTAGTGGCTTTCACAAGTCCTTCTTATAAGCCAGCTCTAAATTTGTAGTCTATATCTCTTGCAACTAAGTAACTGATTGACATTTTTAAATATGTGTACCATCTTATAAGGAATGGCAGGAATCTGAATTTCTCCTAGTGTCTCACTTTATTACCTGAATAGGAGAATAGGTTTGCCTCGTAGATGCTACTGTTGCAAGCACATTCAATATTCATCTATTTACCACACTTTTCTGCCTTCTGAATATAATCCTAATTTCATACTCCTGTCCCAGAGGGTCTGTAGCCTGAGGAGAGGCTGGCTTTCTTCATACTCAGCCCTGAGTACGAATCTTAATTGATATAAACCAATCATGGAGGCTCCCCCAACACATACACACACCCTTTGCCTACGCATAAGCAATGGAAGCAATTTTAGCTAATGAGGAGGAAATCTTCTGTGGGAAGGTTTCCTTAGCCTTAAAAGAGAGCAGAAGGAAAATGTGAACCCTATTCCTGCTTCACACATTATCTGTAACCTGGAACTGAGAGTGCCACTTTAGTATAAAAGGTACTTAGAAACTGCTTTTGCTAAAAAGCACTGACTCCTCGCTTAGGCCTGCAAATGTCCAAATGCTAACTAAAAGCAGGATAAAAAGTTTGGCATCCCTGACTCCATGTTATATCTGTCTTTCCTCTGAGCCAGTCTCTCCTGCAGTCACCTTACAGCTGCCTTGGAATCTAAGAAGAACAAGACTGATCCATAACATCTCGTGACAAGAGTCAAAACTATCTCCCAGGCAACAATGACTTTCTTATTCTGACCAGGCCCCACCTGACCAATCCCGAGGTGATGATCAACTGAACCATACCTCTGATCATCTCTATTCACCAGACCACACCTGCAGCTGAGACTGTTCACTAATTATGCATACTTCTCACACCCTGTCTCAATTACATCTCTATTTAAACCTGAAGCTCATGTCTGTACCCCAAAGATGGCATAACATAGTAACTTTGCCTGTTGCCATGGTGTACCCATTCTGAATAATAAATTTCCTTTTTCTGCCTTGTACTTTCTCATCTCTTTATTTGACATATTGGGGTGGGTGACTGGGCCTGGCATGTTGGAGCCCCAGGAATGGGGCCTCTGGCCTAGAATTCCAGTTATGTTAAGACCGTAAGAGAAAACAGACTGGAGAAGAAATCAATATGGAAAGATGCTGGGGGAGGGGAGAGAAGTGGTGGGGGGTCAGAAAGAAACTTGGATTATTAATTGTCAAGATACTGAATTACCCAACTCTGGGAATGGCCTCATCTCCACAAATGTAACTATGCAGGATTGAAAAAATGGGGGTGGTTTAAACAATAAGTAAAGTTTTCATTGCTGCAGCTGAAAACATTTTAATTGACTGGCCTCTCTTTCAATAGTTCCACTCCAAAAAGAGTAGGCTACTCAAAAATAACAAAGTATGATAGGTTATCATACTTTGATAGGTATGATAGGAACTGGCAGAGTGGCTCAAGTGGTAGAGCACTTGCCCTGAATTAAACCCTCAGTACCTACAAAAAAAAGTTTCCTCTTAAAAACTGTGCCTCGCATTGAAAGGTAGAATCTATTTCTTCTTTCCATAAATCTAGTCTCCTTTTATCAAGGGAGTACTGCAGAAGAGATGTGATGCTGGTTCCAGATCTAAGCTTTAAGACAACTAGGATCTTCCCTCTTCCTTCACTCTCATGAAAGCCAGCCTCCATGTAAGAAAACTTAGTCTAAACTCCTGTATGATAGATGAGAGACTAGATAAATGGAGAGATACCTGACCAAGGAATATCAAGTAGCTCTGGCAAAAAGGCAGCACCAAGACCCCAGCAATGTAAGTGAAGCCACCTGAGACTTTCCAGTCCCAGTCTAGCCACCATAGATAACATCTCAAAAGCAGATACTAGAAATCTCTGCTGAAACCTGCCTGAATTCTTGGATGCAGAATTGTGAGCCATAAAACTGCTACTTATAGTAACTAAGTCTTACAGTGGTATATTACCCAACAATAGATAACTGAAACACAAAATAGTATTACTTGTTTTCTTATTTTTTAAAATAGCTGTAGTGATTTCACAATGATTAAATCAAAGTACATTATACATATGAATGAAAATGTCATGATGAATGAAACCCATTAAAATGCACCAAAAAGATTTAGTTATTACTACCTGCGGATGCTACTAATGGGTATTGTCTCCAAGTATCTGTTATTTAAGTCTCTTAGCTCACAAAGGAAAAATTATTTGTTTCTATGTATTATTTTTATCCTTTTAATTAACATTTTAAAATAATATAATACAAATAAATGGAAAAAAAACGTTTGCAACAAATGAGGTGATATCCCTAGCAAGTAAGACTTTCTCACAAATAAAGTAAAATAAATACTAACAGCTCAATTTTTTAAATGGGGAAAGCTATTTCTCTGAAGAACAATAAACGGTCAAAAACTTAAAGTAGGAAATATCTTAACCTCAAGATCGTTTTTCCCCTACTAAATTGCCAAAGAAAAAAATAGACAGTGAAAACTGGGAAAATCCCATTGTAGAGGCAGGAGTAGAAGATCCCAAGGTCTCTTTGAATTATGGAGACTTCAGTGTCCTTGATCACAGGCTCCTTGACTTTGTGCAACGTCCTGGCTGTAAATTGACGACAATGTTAACTACTGCACAAAGCTGTTGCAACGCGAGATGCATCAAGACTAATGTGTTACTTTTTGCTCAGGCCATTCATCCCATGCGTTTACATCTGTCAGCGATCACTAAAAAGAACTGGAATTACAGGGAAACCTGAGGAGTTTTCTGGAAAATCGGGAATGGAATGAGCCAGGAAAGAGGCGACAACGAGAACCCCGGGTAGGAGGAGACCCAGGCCCCAGGGAGGGGCGAAGAAAGAGTTCCCGGTGCTGATTGGCTTCCTGAGAGCAAGGGGCGGGGCGAAGGAAGCTCCCCAGGGCGCGCGAGCGGAAAGCGGCGGGGGGACACTTCCGGTCTTTGTGGCTGGCGCCCTGGCGGCTCCTGGGCTTGGCGGTGAGGGACCCGGGCCCCGGGGCGGAAGGAGGGCTGGGTGGGCGCACGGCCCGGGTTCCGGTTATAGGAGTCCCGTTCCTCGGCCTGCCGGTCCCGGCTCGTGGCCCGCGGGTCCAGGCGGCGTGTCTGAGCGTCCTGGGGACGCCGAGGAGGCCAGCTTGGAGCCCTGCTTTCCCGTGGAGGCGCTGGCGGTGTCACCAGGCGTCCCCAGGACGCAGACGCCGGGTGTCAGGCTCCTGCTTTCCAATGGAAGCGCACTTGTCCCCGAACCCCTGGGACTGCCACCAGCAATACAGCAGGCTGGTGAGGACCCCAGAGATTTGTATCCTCGGTATTCCAACCTCTAAAGTTAGGCATTAGCAGTAAAACTTACTGATATGTCCTCTCTAAACTGAAGAGCATGCACTTCTTACGGGTGTCCTCCGTTCAAAAGCCAGGTGGTGTGTGGTCTGTCTCACAAAATTCAATACATAATTTGCTACCATATTTTGTTTTAAAATGCTTTTACTCCGAGCATACGCTAAGGTTTTTGGAGGACTGAGGTTGACCTCTTTGCATCTTTTGTGTCTGTAATATCTAAGGTGCTCTTGAACACATGCAAGCATTTACTTCCTTTTTAATGCCTCAGTAGAATCATTCGTGAGCAAAAACTTTCTAACAGTGCCAGCTCAGGACAGAGCCCATAGTAAGTGCCTGGGTGTTTGCTGAAGAAATTCAGTGAGTGACCAAAATGGCAAATATCCATAATATCTTACTTAAATCAACTCATGTTTAATGTGATTTTTTGAAATGTTTTATTACTACCTTAAATGAAAATCAACAATACCTGCTGCAATAAAAACTAACTCAAAATAAAAATGTTAAAGCCAGCATTATTAAATTCTAACTAAATAGTATAATTACCTTTGGAAGCCCGAGTCTGAGCCCCATATTTTATTAAAACATTCAGCAAGTTTTACATACATGTTAAAGACATTTTTCTCCTTGATACAATCAGGATTGAAAGAGAATTGGGAAGGAAATAGTATTTCTCACTGTGTGATTCATGTTAATATTATATCCTTTTCTTCTAAAATTTCTACCAACAGTGATTGGAATTCTAAACAGTGAGAGACATTGAGGTAAATGATTTTTTTAGTTTGTCATTAGATTATTGTTTATAGTGTCAAACCTACTCCCTTTCAGTATTATTAGACTGACTTATCTTCATTAAAGTTTTTAGAGATTTTTTCCTACTTTAAGTTAACACTGTTCTTATATTCTATAGGAAAGAAGAGATTACTCAAACTTTCTCAAGCACAGAACCCTGTTGTACTCAGCTTTTTGTTAAGCTATTTCAGCCTACAATGGCTGTGGAACCTAGTGCAACTTCAACTCTGATACCTCAGGATCATCAAGAACAAAAATTACTAATAGTGAAAATAGAAGATAGCCTTTCCTCGGGTCAGAAATTTAAACAGAATGGGAATACCCAGTCCTGCCAAGAATTATTTCGCCAGCAATTCAGGAAGTTTTCCTATCATGAGACTCCTGGGCCCCGGGAGGCTTTGGGTCGACTCCAGGAACTTTGCTATCAGTGGCTAATGCCAGAGTTGCACACTAAGGAGCAGATCCTAGACCTGCTGGTACTGGAGCAGTTTTTGAGCATACTACCTGAGGAGCTGCAGATCTGGGTTCAGCAACATGGTCCAAGAAGTAGTGAGGAGGCTGTGACCCTGTTGGAGGATTTGGAGAGAGAGTTTGATGATCCAGGGCACCAGGTGGGAACAGAGAAGAGATGTGTTATGGGAAAAGGAATGTATAGCCTGGAGCATTGTAGTATCTGAACAGTAGATTGAAAAGTTGTGTATCTTTACTGAATCATAACCCGGATGTCATGATGGGGCCGTACCTGTCTCTACCCTTAAATGGTTTCTTTCCCTATCCTTCGTCTGTTGACCTGTTGAGATTTAGTAAGCATTTTCTCTAGGGATTTTCTCACAATGCTGATCCTAGTTTACTGATTTCAGGTTCCAACTAATCCACAGGGACCAGCAGTGCCATGGAAGGATTTGGCATATCTCGGAGCACCCAAAGAGTCAACAAATGTCCTGCTCCATCCTCTAAAGACACAGCTGACATCCTGGAAACCTCACCTTTCCTCTAAAAGTGGTGAGGAATAGAAACTTAGCAAGAAACTTATACAAGTTAGATCTCTGGTTTGGAGATGCAGAATTAATTGCATTTACAGAGTTGGCACATGAGCACATCACTTTGTATTAATCTAAACCTGAGGTGTTCACTTTAGCAGCATTGTTTTCATCAGCCCTCACGAATTAGTCAGTCTTTGTGTCAATTCCCTGCTATTTATTCACTTATTCACTTATCTTACAACTTTTTATACAGTACCAAAATGTGTAATATTGCGGTAAGCACCGGATCTCCATCTTCAAGGAATTTTCAGGTCTGAAGGGTAGTGGACGCAGTTGTAATCTAGTGTAGTAAATTACAGATTGTGGTAAGCACCGGATCTCCATCTTCAAGGAATTTTCAGGTCTGAAGGGTAGTGGACGCAGTTGTAATCTAGTGTAGTAAATTACAGAATAAAAGTAGGCACTGGGTACTGTGGGAGCTCATAAAGCAGCACCTAACCCGGTCTAAAAGGCTCAAGGAACACTTACTGGAGGAAGAGATATCTAAGCTAAGACTTGAACTGTGAGTAGGAGAAATGTAGATAAATCGGTAGAAGGAATAGCGTAAGAAAAAGCCAGAGTCCTGAAGGTGAGGGAATACAAGCCATTCTGGAAATTATAGGTAGTTCAATTTGACTTGAGTAGAGAATTAATAGGGAAGATGTGGTAAGAGAGAAACTAGTGAAGAAGCTGAGACTCAAGTTGTAAAACCTGTATTTCCTATTCATATAGCTGCACAGTTTGGTAAGTACAGAGTTTAAGACAAAGTGACATGACATGAAATGGATTTATGGTTTAGAACTTAGCTTCGGAATAGAAAATGGATTCAAGGAAGGCAAGATTAGAGGCCTATTAGAGACTTGTAATCCAAGTGGCCACAGTAAATAAATCAACATGTTTTATGGTAGAGGGACTTAGGGAAAATCAAAGCTGAATCCTATTCCTCAGCATTGAGAGTACATTGCAGTGTATGGTCATTGTTAAAAGCAGAGCGTGAGGGAAGAGTTGAAGGTAATATTACAGTTTCAGTCTTGAACATCTTGGGTAATGGTGGTGCTAGTCATGTAAAAGGGAAACCAAGAAAAAACAAATACATCTAGTGATGTGTTTAGCTTGGAGCATTGTGGTGCTTTTGAAATATTCACAAGTAAAATACTCAATTATATATGAAAATCTAGAGTTTAATAGAATTAGGATATAATTGGGCCCTGGAGAGTCACGAGCTTAAATATAAGTAGTAAGCAAAACCTGGGGAGTAGAGAGATTATAAAATGAGGATACCTGAGTGCTCAGAACAGAATCTGGAAGAAGAGTTAACAAGCCCTAGAATCTAAGAAGGAATAACCATAGAAATTAGGTCAATGTGGCTGAATGGGAGTGTCTCTAAAAGTGATCCTCAGTGTCAGTGCTACAGAGAGCTAACTTAGATGTAGAAATTACTCATTGGATTATGCACTTAAATTGTTGGTGACCTTGGAGATTAGCATCAATGGAAGTAGAGGGATTGGGGGTGGGAGGTGGTAAGGTAGAAACCAGATTGCAGAAAGGGTATAGTAAAGATAACTCAAAAAACTTTATTGTGAATGGGAGTGAGTGAGATTACTTGACAAGATACAGAGCTTGATTTCTAAAAAGTGAGAGAGAGTTGAGCTTATTTAAATGCTGATGAGCAGGGGTCAGTCTAGGCTTTAACATTAGAAAAGAGGTGAGACCCCTATTTTTGGCCATTTGAGGAAAAATACACAGGGATAGTGACATCTTTGTAGATAGTAGCTCAGATCTGGGAGGCTGAGGCAAGTGGATTCCTTAAACCCAGAACAACATACCAACAAGACACAGTCTTTTAAAACAAAAAAAAAAGTGAATATTGAGAGTTACTGGAGAAGTGTAAAATCTGATTTATTTCTTTTTTGCTGTTTACCATTTCAGATTGCGAGAACAATGAAACAACAACAAAGGAGGACATTGCAGAAGAAAAATCTCAGGAACTGTCTCAGGAACCTTCATTTAGAGGAATTAGTGAACATGAAAGCAATTTAGAGTGGCAGCAAGGAAGTGCTACAGGGGAGAAATCAAGAAGATCCCATCCTCATGGGGGCAGTTTTAGTAAAGTGATCATCTCACACAAATCTTTAGGAGAGAGAGACCATTTTGATGAACCTCAAAGATGCTTGATTCTAAGTACAAACTCTGTAACATGTCAGAAAATTCCTACACAAGAGAGACCTTATAGATGTGATGTATGTGGGCACAGCTTCAAGCAGCATTCCTCTCTAACTCAACATCAGAGAATCCATACTGGAGAAAAGCCCTATAAGTGTAACCAGTGTGGGAAGGCCTTTAGTTTGAGATCGTATCTTATTATTCATCAGAGAATTCATAGCGGCGAGAAAGCTTATGAATGTAGTGAATGTGGAAAAGCCTTCAATCAGAGCTCAGCTCTCATTAGACATAAGAAAATTCATACAGGCGAGAAAGCTTGTAAATGTAATGAGTGTGGCAAAGCATTTAGTCAAAGTTCATATCTCATTATACATCAAAGAATTCACACTGGTGAGAAACCCTATGAGTGTAATGAGTGTGGGAAAACCTTTAGCCAGAGCTCAAAGCTTATTAGACATCAGCGAATTCATACAGGAGAGAGACCTTATGAATGTAATGAATGTGGGAAAGCATTTAGGCAGAGTTCAGAGCTTATTACACATCAGAGAATACACAGTGGAGAGAAACCCTATGAATGTAATGAATGTGGAAAAGCCTTCAGCCTGAGCTCAAATCTCATCAGACATCAGAGAATTCACAGTGGAGAGGAACCTTATCAGTGTAATGAATGTGGCAAAACCTTCAAAAGGAGCTCAGCCCTTGTTCAGCATCAGAGAATCCATTCTGGGGACGAAGCTTATATATGTAATGAATGTGGGAAGGCTTTCAGGCACAGATCAGTTCTTATGCGCCATCAGAGAGTCCACAGTGTAAAATAACTTGTGAATATAAAGATCATTGTAAATATTTAAGTCACATTTTTCTCTCTATTAGTCGAAAGGGTTGACTGTGGAACAAGATTCCATAAAGGCTTGTAAATTACTAGGTTTTGAGCCTGTTTAACTTGCTTTGTGCAGCACTAACAAATGCTAGTCCAAATCATCCCTCGAAGACTTTTCTGACTAATCAAACAAGTTGAGAGACTCTACTCCCAGCTTTTTTCTTACTGCGAGGAATACTCAGGAAATATGAAAAACAGGAATGTAACATTAAAGCTTCATTTTCTTTGAGAATGTCTAAAGGTCATAGAGCTCCAGGCTCTGTCACTGCCTTTGATTGTCAAATTTGTCAGGTTTGGAAGATAAGGTGGAACTTAAAAAATTTCACTGACCTGTTTTAGAACAGTATGGCAACAAGAAAATTGGGGAAACAGTTTCATCAATTTTGTTGAGCCTGAGGGAGGCCAGAAATTAGATAGTTAAGAAAGAACACAATCCATCCAACAGTTATTTTTTTAATAACCTGCTTTGTACCAGCTGTCTAGGGATACAGTAGAAAACAAGGCCTAATTTCTACTGCCTAATGGACATTGCCAATCAGGTAATGAACTTATAGTATGGTCAGTGCTATATGACTTTAAGGGTGTTCCTTGAGCACTTTCCCCATTTCCTTATCTAAGGACTCACATAGGGAAATGGGGAGAAATGACCTGAAGGATGAATAGGAGTTTACCAGGGAGGTAGGCCAGTAGAGGAATAACATAAAGGCCAGGAAGAGAGTGTGAAACATTTCCTGCTGAGTTCATTCTGAAGTGGGGTCATGTCTGTAAGAAGCATGGCTTTAGCCAAACTGAAGCAGTACCTACAGCAAAATATAAGTCAATAGAGAAGTTTGTGTAAATAAAAACTAGAACTCTTGGACCACAGCACAGTGAGATTTGTCTTGATTGATGTGACTAAGGAAAAGGGCTAATAAGTGGTTTCTCTGCCTGGTCTATAGGCTAAGCTAGAGCTTCCATAGAAGTGGTGGCAGAAAGCTTAGCTTAGATAGTAAGACTATAAAGAGTTCATAAGGTTTCCTTTGGTTCTTCCGACATTTTCAGAGCTGCTGTCACATTGCTCCTGACTCCCACAGCTCTGGGTCAGAAACTGCCATAGCATCATGTCTGAGGCAGTGTCCTCACAGTTCCCAGTACTCCCCTGGCTTGGGGCTCAGAAACAGCAGTTGCTAGTTGTGTAACTTAATCTCCAGGCACCTGACACACGTTCAATTTTGTTTTATATCAGCAGTATTTCACAATATCTTTTGCAAATTTTGTTAAAGACAAGGCTAAAGGGAAGTGATACAGGAAGTAATAATCACGGTCAAGACTCCTGAGGAGCTCAGCAGAAAGGTTAGCAGGTGGTGCAAGGTGGAAAGAATAAGGGAAGGGGGGGAATATCATATAAAGCAATTTTTACAGGTTCATCTTATTTAGAATGTATATGGTTATTCCTTATAGCATTGTTTAAAATAGCAAAAGATTGGAAACTATCAATCAGTAAGAGACCGGTTTAACAAATTATGTTGATAGGAATTTTACTTAATAGAATGTTATACAAATGGAAGGTTAATCAGAAACAGACGCATCATTCTAAACACAAGGCAGTGTGGAGGAATAACATCTTACCAAAACTAAATCTGGAAGTGTAGAATACTGTGCATAGAAAAATAATTTTTATGAAGATAAAAAGCAAAGAGAAATGTTCCTGTTGGACAGTCATATGTGGACTTGTGTTAACCACTAAGAATGGCAGGAGACCTAAATGGTGAGAGTATGAAAAAGGAAAATATGGTAAAAGGTAATGAAATACTTGGTAAAAGCTACTTGGCATGTTTTCCACAGGAAAATAAACTAGAAATGGTAGTTTATTAAATAGGAGTTGGTAGTTAGCAAAAGGGAAATACTTAGAGCTCTTTTATAGACCAGTAAGAAATGTAATAAGTATTTATGAAGGGCTTTGAATATGTGCATTAGTTATTTCTAACTACAGTTCATATTTTCTGAATGAGGAAACAAGGCTAAAGGTCATAGCTAAAAGGTGGTAAAGTCAGTTTGAACTCAGAACTCTACTTTGGAGCCACTTCACACTGTCTCCCTGTGAAAAAGTCTGAACAGAAAAACTCATATATGGGTTGGGAGTGTAGCTCAAGCTTGTTTGAGAACATAGGTTCAATCCCCAGTACTGAAAAAAAAAAAAAGAAGAACCTATATTTAAATAAGCAAATCACAAAAGAAGTGCCAATAGGTAATTTATGGATGTTCAGTCTCACAAGTCAAAATGTGTATTAAAGCAAGAGTTGAGATTGTGTGTGTTTTTCTCATAAAATTAATAAAGTTTCAGGGAAATTGGGACTCTCCTGCTGTTGGTGGGAATATCTCTGGCAATTAACACCAGAAGCCTTAAGCATTTATTGCCTTTGACTTTGACGTTTCTACCAAGAAATAAATATACTTCAGAAACCATCATGAATGTACACAGTATTACGAGCTGTTAAAACATGGTGGTTAATGTTAAAAGAAATGAAGGCATTCATGATAAATTATTAATAATATTACAAGACATGGGGCTGGTGCAGTGACTCAAGTGATAGAGCATCTGCCTAGTAAGCATAAGGCCCTGAGTTCAAACCCCAGCACTGCCAAAAAAAAAAAAAATAGAAGATGTGTACAATATCTCATGTAAAACAGGTATTTATTTCAAAACTAGAACTATACAAACTGAAGGTGCTATACTGGTTGCCTCTGGTAGTGAGGTTATAGGTAATGTCTCTTGTGCTTTTGTCTATTTTCCACATTTTTGTACAAAATCTAGTACTCTTAAGATTAGAGGAAGAGTCATGGTGTGTAGCTCAGTTGTAGAGCATATGCTTAGCATGTGTGAGGCCCTGGGATTAACCCACAGCAAGTGAGCCTGTGTGCACACACATGCACACAATTGAAAAAGCAAACAGAAGCCTGGGATAGTTGAGAAAAAAAATTTTTAATTACTTTCCATAGCATCTCTGTCCCTTCCAAATCTGTTAATTAACTCTGATCTTCAATCTCATGAATTGTGTAGCCATAAGCAAGTCACCCTACAGCTCTAGACCCTCATGTTAAAAGAGCAGAGAGGATGTCTATGGTCAAAGCTTCAACATTCTGTGCTTATGAAATGGAGGGGGCACCTACAAGAGACGGATGTGGAAGGCAATTTTTTCTTATACTAGTCTTTTCCTCTGATCCAGTCTGCCTTGTTTCTTTTGCTATAGAGTCAGTCTAAGGGCTAACAGTGTCCACTTTAAGTAGATCTTACTAGATTAAAAGATAATGTCCAACTTAGGCAAAGTACTTAATACCAATTTCCTACATTTCCCTTTTTCCCTCATTTCCAAAGCCTGCAGCTAACCCTGAGATGATTGGAAAATAAAAGCAAATCTGACGTGACCTGACTTTTGAGGACATGCTGAGGAATAAGGGGAAGGTTATGGCAGTCTTCCACCCCTTGGTCCTTCTCGGCACTTGGTGCAGAGAGTTCCAGCCTGATGCACATGAACCCCCGCCTCCACACACACCCCACCATCGCTACCATGAAGAAGAGTCCGAATTATGGTGGCTGTATGGATAGATTCTTTCTTGCTCTCATTCCCATAGTCTTTCTCAACAACTCAACCTCAGATGTCCCCTCAGTTTTGTTTTATTTGCTGGTATACTTTAAATGCTAGAGATCACATGTCATAGGGTCACGATGCTTTTTTGCCCAGGGAACAGAAACTGAGAACACCAATTTCCTTCTTACAACACCCTTTCCCCACCCTACCCCCAGCCTGTCTCCACTCATGTTACTGTGCTCCCTATTCCTGAATGAATAATTCAAAACAAAACTTTGAAATAAATTTTATTACAATGCATTCCACATTACATCCTGATATTAAGCAGTTGAACTTTGGAATGTTAAAATTAGTTATCAAATATTATTTACTAAAATATTAGGGTTGGGGAAAAACACTAATAGAAAATATTTCAAAATATTAACCATGTCATGAAGTTGTGGATGATTTGTAATATCTCCATTGACAACTTTCACAATTCACAATCAGGAAAAAAATCATATTTAAAACATTAACCATTTGATTTTCACCTACAGGAAAAGTCAAGTCACTATCCACTTGAAGAATCCCTTCAAATTATTATTGAAAATCAAATACTATTGATTTCACTGAATGATAATTGCACAACCTTTTGACACAAAATCTGTCTCCCCAATTTCACCTCCCCTGTTATCCACAACAGCTGTGATCACCAAGTCTTCAAAAATGACATTCTCTTAGATATGAACTGCCCTACGCAATTGTGGGTTAATTAAAACTGCCAAAATAAAAATTAGCAGGGAAGTATAGTTTTGAGACCTCTGAGGGGTTAATTCAACAAATATTTATTACCCTTAAGTGGCTTAGGGTCTGCCAATCTTTTGCTGAGGGAGGGGGCAGGGAATGGGGGATTAGTAGGGTTTAGGAATCAGACCTCCTTTTGCTGTATTTCTATAAGGTTTCCATTCCCTGGACTCACAGGAAACAAGCACTCCAGTCCCCACTGTCCCTCTAGCTTCCAATATGTATTCTTTCCTTACTATACATGCATACCTGTCTCCCTAAGACTCAGCAGAGTCTTCCATCACAATAATTTGGGGTACTTCAAGATCTCATAAGTTACTCAGGACCTAAGATAGGCTACTCAACTCACTGATTATAAATAGGAAGAGAGACCAACACATGTTCCTGGCTTCTGAGCCAGTGTCTATAACAACTAATTCCTGCTGGAGTAAAGAGTCCTGATGAAGGAACATCTCTCAATCCTCCCTTATCTTCATGCCATGCACATACTATAAACTGTGCCTCTTTTCCCCTGCCCTTCTACATCTTAAGTCTCAAATAAGATGGCATGACATCTGAGAAGTTTTTAATAACTCATAGATGAAGTAAGGTATCCCTGTCATGTACTTCATCAGTACCCTGGATTATTACTAGCAAAGCACTTATCATACTTTATTGTAATTACTTGTTTAGTAAACACATATATCCCATTAGCCCTTAACTTTGAGAGGGGTATGGCATGTCTGTCCCCAATGGCTAAACACAGCAGGTATCCAGGATACACTAGACCTGAATTGACCTCATCAGGAATATCAGGGCTGATGAAAGAATTGGCAAGGGAGCAGAATGAGCTGCTATTTCTCAGACACTAATAAACTGATCCAGGGGACAATTCCACATTTTACAACTTCACAATTCAACACATCACAAAATTGAGTAACTCATAGCATGTGCCTCCACCTGCCAAAGGCACAAATGCTCTTGCTGGGCAAGGATCCTTGCCATCTTATAAGGAGCTCTTTCAGGATCTCTGTTAATCCCAGACTTACATGAAGGTACCCAAGGGCGGCTATATCTGGGTTGGTGGAGAGTGGGGTGAAGGGGATATTCCTTATTCAAGAATGGGTTAGGCATTTCTAGGAAATACTTACTGTTCCTTTTGGGAAAGACCTGGATAAAAATTTTCTTCCTTTCAACAATCATAAAACACATCTTTGTGTGGATCTCTTATGTGAAGAACTGGGCTGGAATGACAGAAACCCTGCTCTCAGGAAACTTCTATGTTTTGTGGTGTCTTGCTTTCAAAGTGGATTTCTTGCACTTCATAATTCTATAACTCTTACCCACAAGGCTAATCCCTAGTATGTGTTCTCTGATGTTGCATAAGGCCTGACCCATGCCTAAATGTTTTCCTGCACTCAGTACATCCATAAGGCTTCTCTCCAGAGTGAATTCGCTGATGGCCAATAAGAATAGACTTTCTAGCAAAAGCCTTACCACATTCAAAATACTCATAGCCTTTTTCTCCAGTATGAATTTTCTTATGCTGAACAAGGGCAGAGTTCTAACTGGAGGTTTTCCCACCTTCACCACAATAAGTTTTCTCTCCTGTGTGAATTCCTCCAATGCCTAATAAGCTCTGAACTGCCTCAGGAAGCTTTTCCACATTCATAACATTCATAGGGCTTTTCACCACTGTGAATTCTCTGGTATCTAACAAGATCTGCCCTCAAACTGAAGGCTTTACCACATTCTTTACATGCATAAGGTCTCTCTCCAGGTAACTTCTCTGATGCCTAATCAGCTTTAAGCTGTGGCAAAATG